CCTTCTTACAGGTTAGTTATCAACATCTGGTTTATGCACAAATGATGAAATACAACATTTTGGCATGGAAGAATTGTTAATACTCTTGCCCAAACTCACTAGAGAAAAGGGGGGTAAGATGCAATGCCAATTTAATAATCACCAGTTCCTTACAGAATATACTTCTGTAAATATCCTGTATTAGAACGTATTGTTTTAGAGTATATTTCTGGTGAACAGAATGATCTTAACTAGATTATCTGTGTGCGTTGCTTTACTTCTTTTTGTCTTCCTTATAGTATCTTGCAGCCAAGACTTATTAAATGAGTACAATTTTCATTGATCTGTTTTATTTCTAGTTTTATTTATTTAATCAGAGGTATCACACACATCTGGTTTGTTTCAAAAAATGCCGCCACAAAAAAGTATCCAAGCTCAACTGAAACAAGTACAAGCTTTCCTATAAATAATCAAGCACCTAACAATGTGACTGAGATATTTCAAAAATAAAATAACAAAAATTCCTTCATACTGGCTATCATATATCCCTTCCTATGTATTCAAATGGGCAATATTCATCTACAGAAAAAAAAATGCAAGGGATAAGGGATTCGTGAAGACTTTTTTTAAAAAAGGAAAATCCCTCCCCAGTTAAAGAAGTTGAGTGAAAACTGAGCATGGAAGACTTTTTGGAGGGGAGAGGGGAGTTAAAAAGAATTAATGTTACCACCATATTTTGTTTGGAATCCAGACTACAGATTGGGACTGGTCTTACATCCATGGTAATCTTCTGAAAATTGGTACCCTGCATATGTGTTAAAGATGAACTCCCATTGGCTCTAACTCAATGGCAGTTGGAACCTAATACATCTGGAATACATCAGTTTGGGAAACGATGCTATTATTCATGCTCAGAGATTAATGCAATCATGCCTGTTCATTATATAGCCTCACCATCTTTTATTTTGGGATCACTGAGATCATCAAGTAGCAAAATTCCCAGGAATGATCATTTTAATTCAAAAAGTTTGTGTCTTTATATATTTCATACCAGTATTATTCAGAAGACATGCTTCTGCTTCTTATTTGCCTTCCCTAGTTTTTGGGTCATAGAATATCTTCAAAATATTATTTTCCTGAGCTGTTCTTAGAAGACATCAATGGACATTTCACAAAAATGTCCAACTTCCCCCCTAGTTGTATGCACTAGAGGTCACTTTGTGTGCCACTATGAAGTTGTCAGTAACAATAATATTAAAGCTTACTAGCTGGCTTCTAAGCAGAAATCTGGAACATGTCTGGATATTATCTTCCTGTAATATTATCATGTAACAAAAATATTTATGACACTTTCTATTTAAACGAATCAATTCTTTGCTCTTGTAGGTCAGGCAACATACTTCTATGCTCCAGAAGTCTTTTGAGAAATGTAAGGATGTTAAAAACCAAATTAATAACACAGCACCTTTAGGAGGAAAAAAAATCCTGCTAGTTCTAATTAAAACACATTACAAAATTGCAGCAAATAGAAGTTATTCCATCTTCTATTGTAGTATAAGAAATCTGCTCACAGGTTTGTTTTGTTTTTTTCTAAAGTTATATCTAATATATCTGGTTATCCCGAAATTGTACATAATTGGAAATGTTTTATTCTGCTTGCTAGACAAGGAGTGTACTTTTATTTAAAGCCCAAGCTTTTTTTTACACATTAGAAAGGTTTTTAGCATGGAGCAATAATTCACTCATTGAATTCATTAAAATACCTTTACTACCCATCAATACCCCAAAGTGACTGTTTAAGTATTTTCTTAAACAGCCAAATATATGCTAGTGCCACAAGCAAATTACTGTGTAATCATAATTTCAAATCTAAAAATGTTTACTCACCTTTCTAATCTGAAAATACTCACTTATCTTTCTAAACTGTGTCATCTAAATCCCATTTGCATTCTAATTATAAACAAAAAGTTACGAGTATCTTACACAAGGCAGTAAGATTTAAAGACTGAATGATTCATATGTTAATCAGTACTGCTTCAGTTAAAAAAAGAAATGATGTGAACACATGTGTGTGGGTGCATCTATGCTAGAATGAAAAGCACATTGCTGCACATTGATTCAAACCTGAAGAATCCTGACAAATCGACTTTTCTTGAAGTTATTTCTTCACTGGTATAATAAAACAATGTTAAAATGTAGTTATTCTTAACACATTTATCTGTTTACATTAGCCATCTGCCTTTATTTTCCTATTAAACTCTTCCTTGCCATCTTCCTGTTCTGATTCTGCTAGTCTTTATCACTGATGGAGTCAACTTTTAAAAAAAATTCATGACCTGATATTTTTTAATGTACATGATTTACTGCTTTCAAGAGCTATCCTGTCCTTGCCTTCAAACCTTTAACCCCAAGTGAGCTTGTTTTTTTTTAAAAAAATTAAAATTTAATATTGCAAGCCAGCTTACAATGTTCTCACTTAAAATAAGAAAAATAGCAAACGTTTTAACTACAGAGTTGCATCGACCATTTTTGTTCTTTTTCCTACTTATTTCCTCCTTTCCTCCATTCAAAGTTCCTCTACTGCATTCAGATGTGGCTAACTAGTTCCAAGCATGTCTCAAAGGTGCTTTTCTTCTAAAGGCAACTAGATTTCGTTTCCAAGAAGTTTCTTCAGTTCTGTTTCAGTTCTCTCAAAAAAGTTCTGAAGAAGCTTCTTGAATGAGAAGTGAAACATCTTCAAGCAAAACAAAGAAATTCTACAAAACAAATATTAACTTAGAAGAAGAAAAATACCTGCCTGTCACCAACATGAAAAAAAAAAAGGATTAGAAATTTAATGACAGCCTCCATTGGTGATGTCAAAATATCATTGATCTACTGCCCTATTCGAAGGTGGGCTGCTTGGATACAACACATTACTGACACCAGGGATATCACAGATGTGTCATCTATACAAAATCCCAGGTTTAATTCTTAAAATCTTTTGTTAAAAGGACACAAAACAAGAAACTTATTTTTGTGTTCTTGGAAGCTACAAATAATTGTGAACAGCATTAAACTAGATGGAAGAAGGATACTTTCTTTCAATCTATGATGCCATCTTATCTTCATGTCTACAACATGAAAGGATATTTGGTGACCATACAATATTTATTTATTCTTCACTGTTTCAATTGCTTTATGTTTTTATGAGGTATGTTTGCCAAAGTCCCTTGTTGAGATGGGTAGCTACAGAAATTAAATAAATACATAAATATAAAAATTAAATAAATACGTACATAACTCCCCATAGTAACTGATTTAGCTTTTTTTTTCATTTAGATTAAAGGTACATTTATATATGGGTATGTGTAAGTGCTCTTACCACCTCTCGGCATGGAGGTGATATGTAAATGCCATGACAAAACACAAAACCAGCAACAGTCTGGGATCTGAAAAACAACAGGTCAGGGCCAACAACAATAATGTTATAACGCAGGAGCAGAGAGATGGGAGTTATAAGATCTAATAGAATAACAAAATAACAGAGTTGGAAGAGACTTGGATATCTTCTTGTCCAACCTTCTGCTCATTCAGGAGACCCTATACCCATGATGGTGAACTTATGGCATGCGTGTCAGAGGGGACACGCAGAGCCTCACTGTGGTCATGTGTGCCATTGCCAACTGCTCTTCTGTTTTCTGTCACGCACATATGTGCCAGCCAGCTGGTCTTTATGGGTGTTGGAGCACCCGAAAACAGCCCAAACAACAGCCAAAAAACAGGCCTTTTGGGGGCATTTTCAGGCCATTTTGGGGGGCGTTTTCAGGCCAGGTTTTTTGGCCTATTTTCACACAGTTTTCCAGGCTGTTTTCAGGCCATTTTCCTGCCATTTTTTGGCCAGAAAATGGCCTGAAAATGGCTCAGAAAACGGCCTGAAAACAGCCCCCAAATCGCCCCAAAACAGGCATGCATGCACCGGCTAGCTGGTCTTCAGGTTTCCAGCACTCCGGCACACACGTGTGCACGTGGTTCCTGTTTGAGCACTCGGTGCGGAAATGGTTGTCCAATTTCTTCTTAAAAAGTCTCCAGTGATGGAGCGCCCATAACTTCTGAAAGCAAGCTCTTCCACTGGTTGATTATTCTCTCAATCAGGAAAGTAGTTCTAGATTGAATCTCTCATTTATCATAATAACTAATAATCTAATTATTATTAATCTACATTACCAATAATGGTGAATAGTCTTTATACCATAAAAACTATTCTCACAGAAGAATGTGTATCAGCTTTATTTTTAAGAATCTCTCTGTCTCCTGTAGGCCTAAAGGCACTCTTCAAGCAAACAAGCAAGCAAACAAACAAACAAATAAATAAAACAAGAGAGCAGCAGCAGCTTTGAAGCATGTACATTTGCCCGGGCGGGGGGAGGGATAAAAGTAACTTGAGGAGACACAGTATCCTGGGAGTTTACATAGAATGGTGGAGAGTAGCTTCACTGATTTGCTTCCTCATAAATGGAAGACCTGCCTTGTCTATGCATTAGCCATTTTATGAAGCAGACAATGAGAGGCTGATAAAATTGATTGGTACTTATGAAAGGGGCTTTGTGCCTCTGGAAAACTTGAAGGAATCTTCAAGAACGTTGTCTGTCCGCCATTTACCTCTCAGCTCTTCCTCTGCTCATAAAGATTGCATCAGTGAAGTGACTAATTTTTCTTGGCACCATTTTTATTTTTTTATTTCCAAATGCAAAGGTAGGAAAGATAGTGGGGGCTAAATCCAATAATATCAAGCTTTGGGCAGTTGGAGTCTACTGAACTTACCTCTCTGAAATGAATCATGGGTAGCTAAAACACAAAATGTAGAAAATAGTATCTAAAGTTAAGCGGCATGGCTACAAACATTTAACTTCCCATAGTAACTGATTCAGCTTTTTTTCATTATAGAATTAATGATACATTGACATGCTTTGTTTTTGTTTTTTGTCTTTTTGGTTAGGAGCCAAAAAATAATATATATATATATATATATATATACAAACCTGCACATCATAAGTCCCGTTTAGCAAAACAGGCCTTTGGGAACTGATGTCCTGCAGAACCCCTGATAGCACAGAACAGTTGACTTTCTGGAAGTCTTTGGAATGGCTGAACTGCACCATATTGTGCAGAGCCAAAATTTTAGTGTCGAGCTCAGCATCCTGCCTGGTGCGATTGTGTAGTCCGAGGTGGTACTTGCGGAAGTGTTTTATAAGATCTGTGGGGTCGTTCCCATAGTAACCGTAGCCACAGATGTTGCATTTGAAGTCCTGAAGCTCTGGAGACAGAGGCGCCGTATCTGGGTTCTCATTTGCCGACAAATCTGCTTTCAATTTGATTGGCCTTAAGTCCCCATCTGAAGGCACTTGTGGGTTTTTTGAGGCCAACGAGGCTGGGCTTGAACCCCGGCCCTCAGCTTGACCACTTTGCACATGCATTGTTTCATCCATAGATTTTGGTGACGTGCGAGTCTCTTCACTTTTCTCTGTCAGATCTACTGACAGGTTGCAGGCCACATCTTGGGTGTCATCTGCATCTGATCTGAGAGGAGACTTCAAGGACTCAGAGATTCCCCCAACAGCTGCAGATGAGAAGGCCGGCATATTTCTGTCTGTCATCTCATCATGAGGGAAGGATGGAACATTTCCTCCCTTACTGTGGCTTTCATAATTGAAGCCAGCCTTTTCACTCGTTGTAGAGCTTTTCAAGTCCTTTTTAGAGCTGGGAGATGGCTCTGGTACATGCGTGCAAAAGTCCTCATCATTTTGCTCCACAGCCTCACCCAACTCAGTGTTGTCTTGCATCTGACCGGCAGAAAATTCTTCTTTTCTTTCAGTATTGTCACTTTCTGTACCTGGCGATTGAAGGGTCTCTGTTTCTCCTTCTCTAACAACGTTTCTTAGAGGGGGATTCTTTTTCCGGACCATATCTGAAAATATAAAAATGTGTATACAAAAGATAGAGTAAGATAACAACAATGTATAGCACACCAAATCAGGCCATTCCCACTCCCATATTGAAACATAAACAATGTTTGCCAGACCAAACAAAAATGCTTCTTGAGAAGATTTTGTACAATCTTGCTAATCCAGACTTGGGAATAAATCCTAAAGGAGAGGAAATTCTGCATAAAGGACAGAAACCTAATTGTGATTTCATGTTGATCCTTTATTGTTATACCATGCATTGGCTACACATTCTTGTTGAAATTTGGTCTAACTCTAATCCAATTCACTATTAATTGTTACATAAAACTATTATGTTAGATCCCAGAAATAAGACCAATATTCCACCAGGCAATGTACAATTTGAACAAAATTTTGAAGAATGAATTATTTCAAGATTGAACCCAAATATATTAAAAAATATCACATTGAGATGCAGCTTTCCTTAACCTTTGAAACGTTTGGGATCTCTCAAAACTTACTGCAAATTCTAGGCATTATGATTGCATGATATCTAGAGCAGCCAGCTATTTAGTTTTTCTCCAGTTAGGTACATCAGTTGATACAGCAATAGCAATAAGCACTTAGACTTATATCCTGCTTCACAGTGCCTTACAGCCCTCTCTAAGCAGTTTCCAAAGTCAGCATATTGCCCCCAACAATCTGGGTCCTCCTAAGGCTAATTCAAATTTTGTATTGTTCATGGCTCTACAATCCTGTTTTCATGATTATCACGTATACCATCTCCAAAAATGAGTCTTGCAGGTGCTTTTTATATTGTAGCAATTCAATAATATAACCCAAAGCCCAAAGGTAGACTAGAAAGCATAGAAGTGAATTGAGAAAAAAGGCTTCTAAGGAAGACACAAAATATTTAACAGTCAACGGATATCTTATCTCAGAAGGCATTCATGAAACTCACTCTAGATTTATAGTGTTAATCATACTCTTATTGCCCAAATAAATTTGAGAAGGCAACTTAGAAACAACTGCTATTTTATTCCATGTTTTCCAATGCTGGAGATCCCACCCCAGATTTTCTTCTAGTCTGGAACTTAGGAACAGATTCTTAGGAAATAGAGCAAAAGGTAGAAATTCCTAAGCTTCTCAGGCCACCCACTGTAACATATGAGAAACTCAAATGAAGCAGATTTTATCCAGAAGTAAGAATAATATTCCTTGCCCGCTCATATCAAGTTTTTCTAAAAATAAAAGTTTTGTTGGACACTATCTACTACATTGCTCTATTTGAAAAATATATCCTTTTTTCTGCATTTGTACACTATCAGTATCATTATTCAAGAAGACGTATTATCTAAATAAAACCCCATTTGCAGTACTTCTAAATGGAGAAACTATCTATTGGCAAGTCACACTAGAGAGAGTGGAAATGTAGAGAAAGAATATAAGGCATTCTACAATTATTATCTCTAAGACAAATAACAGATTGCACAATGTTTTATGGTGTGCCAAGAAGTTTTCCAGTTAACATTTCTACTTAAAAAAAATACATACTTGTAAAATCATACCCAGCATTGACTTCATAAGGCATGTGGCTCTACAATGCTTTTTGTTGTGTTTTGTTTTTATTGTTATTAATTCTATTAGTCAATTAGCTGGAAGGCTAACACAACTGGCTTAGGAGATACACAGCAGACACAGAAGACATTCTGAGAGCTGATCTGCACATCTGTAAAAGAAAAACAAACAAAAAAGATTCCTCCCTAAATTATGCATTTATGATTAGGGTTTTATTGAAAAAACACATTCAGTATACTATATACTACAGCAAAAATTATGGCTGTACCACAATCAGATTAGCAACCCACAGGGAATTTTGCATTTGCTCAATCCTTTCCTTATTTTCTCCAAAAAAATCTTGCAGATTTATTAATTCTTGAAGGGAAAACCTCAATGTTATCTTATTCAACTTACTGCACACAAAATTTTTTCATATAAAATTCAAATGTCAAAATTATTATCTTCTATGGACCAGTCACAAATCACAACTTTATTCTCTGATACTCCTACACCTCAGAGCTTTGGACTTAAGATCATGGAACCTTCCTCAGTCTTAAACCAAAATAATACTTTCTCAATTTTCAACTCATTCTTACATACCTCTTTAAACTTACATCTTAAACACCTCACACATATCAATGTTATATTATTCAACTTACTGCACACAATATTTTTTCATATAAAATTCCATTTGCATCATTAAAATATGGTGCTTGCTATCTTAAATTCTTAAGTAGCAACAAAGTTAAGCACTGAATAACAAAAGGACAATAACCACCACCTTACTATGAGTTCTTGTGTAACAGGAAAAAGTTAAGACAAAAAAAGTTACGAAGCAAAACATGGCTCCAACTTTAAAAAGTGCCTATCTATGTTTCTGACAGGAAATAATGGAAATACTATGCTTTCAACTTTTATATGAATGACATCCTTCTGTAATTAACTCCTTTCACATTCAGAGAAGCAATTGTAGGACTATTATGCACATGGTACTATGAAAGAAGCATTTACTCCCTTTAACATTGGCGTATCTTTGCCATTCAGTTTCTTAAGAGGTTCCTACAGGTTCTACTCATACAGGTAATCCTCAACTTACTCTCATAATCGAGCCCCAAATTATAGTAATAAGTTATGGCAGTTGTTAAACAGGTCACTATGTGACTGTGCCCAATTTTACAACCTCTTTTGTGGTGGTTAAATGAATACTGCAATCATTAAGCTAATGCCTTAGTCATTAAGCAAGTCCATTTTCCCCAATCTTCTTGCTGTTGTTTTTGCAAAAACATGGAAGTAAATGTCAGAAACTGGCAAAAGACCCAAAAGTCATGGTTACATGACCACAGAACACTGTCATTGGCCCTAGATTGGGACTGGGTTAGGAACTTCTGTCCTCACTGTGAGTTGTGTTGGCGGGGGTGCACAAAGGGAGGCTCAGCCAATCTCATTGTACACATGTTGTACTCTGGACCCTATTCTGCCTTTAACTGTAGTCACTAAAATAGATTTTCATATAGATATGTGTTATATTAGAGGAAATAAATGAAATGCAAGTATTGGTATTAATCTGGTATTATTTCTTTACTCAGTCTTCCATTACACATCAGTTGGATCCACATTAAAAAGTTTGTGATGACCCGGGTTGTGGCAAAAAGGCAACACAGCCAGAATAATAAGTAGGGGTCTCTTTATTAGCTCCAACTTTGCCCCTAATGTATCAGTTACCTTCCGGTCTGGAGAAAAACTCTCTGAGGGACCTGCAACAGTCTTTGACTACAGATATTCCAGTCCAAAATGTTACAAACAGAAAACTTTAAACTATGAATTCAGCAAGACAAAGTAAGATAATAAATCTGGCAGAGAAAAATAAGATGTTCCAGAAGTGAAGTAACACGGCAGTAATTCAAACCAGTTGGGAGGATGCCAGGAACTCACATAACAACAGCCAACATGAAATAAACTCAATTTTGTTTCCAACAAATGCCCCTCCCAAACTGCCTCTCCTTCAAACTCCTTTCCCAGGTATACCTTGTGAAGGGAATCAGGGCTCTTTCCTCCCTCATAAGCCATGCAACCCACATTGCTCTCTTCTCCATTCTTCCCTTCATGCCCTAGAATGAACCCTCTCCCTCTGAACCCCCTCTCCCTTGTTCTCTCTCCCCTGCTCTGCTCAGCCTGACTTTGCCCTTCCCCTGTTTCCTCCACAACTAATGGAGCCAATTCTCCCACTCTCGGTTAGTTGTTCATCTTCCTCCTCCGATTCCGATTCCGATGAGGGCATGACAAAGTTATTACAATGTTATCGCCTAATTCGGGATTACAATAGTGTGGGGCAACTGGATGGAGTTGAGCATTTACTTGCTACCTTCCTGATGCCGTACAGAGTTTGCAGCAGATCTTATTTTCTTTGCACCCTAGGAGAGAAACATCTGCTGCTACATAAGATTGAACTTTCAACCTTCTTAATGGCAGGCAAGTGTCTTCACCACTAGGCCACCACACTGCTCTATCAGTTGGATCCACATGAAGTTCTAAAACATTCAACGGCAACAGCATGCAAAACTTTCTGAAATATAGTAATTTTTAGACTGCCTGTACTTGTAAAATACAAACGTTTTCAACTAGCTACACATTTCAACATAACAGCTAAATTTCCTAAAAAATTAAGTACAGTGCTAATCTATTGCATGATTTTGGGCACTTAGCAAACATCTTGCCCTTTAAACTGGTTGCACCATCCTGTGGACACTTGATCACTCTTTGTGACCTTCCCTACTGTCTTCCTATAAACTAATGAGGAAAGATGCTCAGGTGAATCTCTTCCATCCATCCCTGGTCTTTCTTTGCTGGCACAAACCACGTCTTCCTTTCCTCCTTCATTCACATTCACATTACACACAGAGAGAGACACACAATTATCCTCCTTCCTGCCTTCACTCACATGCATGCACCCATCCTTCCTGAGCCTTCCAGTATTTGAAATAATTCCACACCCTTCTTTCCCAGCTTTCTTGGATTCACACGCACTGCATACCTTAGCCTTCCAATGTTTGTGCACACACACACACACACACACACACACACACACACATACAAGTATACAAGGACACACACCAGCACCCTCCCTCCCAGATGTCTTGGCTCATACCCCACACACATTTTTTCTGACCTTCCTACAATCACATGCACCCTGAATCGTCTTTCCTGTCTTTACACTCACATATACATATACATTCCACAGCCCTCCTTCGTGGTACACCCCGCACTCACACACACACTGTGCCCTCCTTTTCAGGCTTTTCACAGACCATAGTGCCCCCGCTTCCCTTCGGGTCACAAGAGACTGTCCCCTGACCACCACCATCCCTGCAGCAGCCCCGTGACATCCCCACATCCCTTGCTGGGACTACCTCCACTTCCTGCCATAAATGACCCATCTGTATTAGGCTAAGAGAGACAATTAGAATTGATTGGACAGCTGTCACTAAGTGCTGTAGTCACATGACACTGTGCCTTATAATCACACAGTGACAGTAACCCTGCTCCCAACTGCCCTCCTAAGTCGGACTGCCTGTATTTGTAAATGCAAATGTTTTCAACTAGCTGAAAACTGAGTTCCCTCCACTTTGTTGAAGTTAATGAATCACTGAGATTTCAAACATCCTAAAAGCAAGTCAGATCAGGGTAAAAACAATACCACAGAAGCTGCCGAGTTCTCAGCAGCACTGAATAATACATAGCTGTTAATATTTTCCTACTATTCCAGGGAGTTGAGCTTTGATGAATTGACTGTGGACAGTTTTGTGATCATTTGGCACCATATGGTGTAATTTTATTGTCATAATTGGAACCAACGTTATTTTCGGACTACAGATGCTGCCAGAGAAGGTAGGAAAAACCATTCTATCTGTGTGCATGTGTCTGTATGAGTAAAGCAATCAAGATGAACTTTCTCTCAAAAAAACTTTAAGATTTTTTTCCAGGTGTTTTTTAAAGTTAAAAAAATATCAGGAAAAACAGATAAATCTTTATTTCTGTTAAAATATTTTATACTATAAAATTGCAGTCCAGTTTTATGGATTTGGAGATTTTAGATACAATTGTCACTACTATCAAATCTCACCAAAAAGCCATCAACTTCAGCATCATAATCTAATGGAAAATGGAAGATTATTCCTAATGGAATTAATACATTGTAAAGGGAATGAGAAACACAGTCATGAACAAAACAAACTTGCTAAAGAGGAAAAGCTTAAAGGATGGTTTTATGTGTGAATTTCTCTTTGTAATATCAAGAAAAGCATTTTGAGGAGAATGAACAATTCTGACATTCTCCTAACCTGCTTTGCACTTCTTCAAAAATAGTAACACATTCTCAGCATTGTTTGATATATCAATGTTTCAGTTGAAATGCTTTCAATGAAAATACAACTAGACTTTTTAAAAAATATCACAAATTAATTTAGAAGTAAAAAGGGCGTTGGTACTTACCTGATACGCCCGTTCTCTGTGAGCTGTGAAGAGCATCTAGAAGTGGGAGGTGCTTCAGTCTCTTCTGGAAAGGCTAGGCTTAAAACTCCGGGATGCTCCTCCTCCTCCACGGGACACCTCTCCAGCGTCCCCCAGTTTTGCGAAGACTGAGTGCCAAAGTCCAGAACTCATCACCTAATCTAGATCCCTGAACGGAACTCCACCAGATGGAAAGAAATGGGTGGAGCTGGATGCTCTTCACAGCTCACAGAGAACAGGCGTATCAGGTAAGTACCAACGCCCTTTCTCCCATGAGCTATTCAGAGCATCCAGAAGTGGGACATGCCAAAGCTTGGCCTGTCCTTAGGGAGGATCCTCTCTGGATCGAAATCCACTCCTAAACTCTGTGGACCCTCTGCAGGACTCTTCTGCCGAATGAAGCGTCCGCTGAGGCATAGACATCCATTTTATAATTTCTGACAAAGGGCGATGGTGAAGCCCAAGTTGCCGCTCTGCAAATTTAGTCTATGGAAGCCCATCTGGCCCATGCTGCTGATGTTGCCGCACTCCTTGTTGAGTGGGCTGTAATGCCCTTAGGAACTGAGATGGACTGGCATTCATAACTTTTAGCTATGGTGGCTCTCAACCATCTACCAATGGTCGTCGATGACACCTTGTGTCCTAAAGTGGATGAGTTGAAGG